AGGCTAGAACGCGAGTGTGATTAATGTCCCTGCAAATGGGAAGCAGAATTTCCTTGATTGTCACGGTGGGGCTTCAGAAAAGGTCTTGTTGGTGCGGGGGTCTATTAACCGAAATGACATTAAAATTAGGCCGCGGTTCTATGCCAGGGCCGCTCGGATACCTAGCCAAGTTTTGTAAGGGTTAGTTCGCTAAGTGCCCGGAGCGGTTCTATGCCCGGCCCGTGCCCGGGGGCCCGTGCCGAGTGCCGTGCCGCGTGCCGGGCCCGTGCCGGGCCGCGTGCCCGGAGCGCATTTACCGTGCCGGAACCCCCGTGCCCGCCGTCCCCGGCCCCCGCCCCGAGGCCGGACCGTCGTGCAGGGGCCCGTAGGCCGGTCAGGTCCGCCTTGCTACTACCAGCCAATCCAGGGTAAACACCAACCTCAACGTGCGGTGCGCACCGGCGCCAGCTAGCCGTGGGGCGGCGGGAAAGTTACGTGGGTGGCTCCGTCTGGTCCCGTCCGTGTCCGTGAAACTCGAAACGGCGTAGTTTGGTGCGGTTTCAGCCGTGGAGTGACATATCGAGACGTCAAGTACAATCTGCTTAGGTCGCTATATGGGCATGTTTCACCCCCGTATGGCGACCCTTTGCAGGCTCGAGGATCGTTCGGCGGTCCAGAGCAGCGGTCAGCATCGACATCGAGTGCGCGGACCGCAAGTGCTCTCAGCGAGGGCCGGACGTCGACGCGCTGGCCGCCGACGGCTCCCGCAGGCGCTCGCGGCCGAAGGCGTCGGCGCGCGGCCGCGGCCGACCACGGCGCCCCGGCGCCGCGGAGCGTCGCCGACAGGCCGGCCATATCATAGTATCCGGTCACTGGGCCGTCGCCGCGGCGGCCCGACGCCCTGCGGGCCCGCTCGGGCCTCCGGCGCCGAAACCGGCGCGTCGCGCGACGGCGCTCGAGCCGCGGCCGCGCGGCCATCCGGCGCCTCCGACGAGCACCGGCGCCGCGCACGGCCTCGCGGTATACATGCGCGGCCTCGGTCCAGCGCAGGCGCCCGGCGGCAGCGCTGCGCGCGCGGACGGGCGGGTTTCGTTCGCGAGAGCGTCTCACGAGCCATCTCTAGCGACCGCTCGTTCGTCGCGCGACGGCGGCCTCCGCACGGATAACTCGGTCCAGAGGTGCGCCGTGTGATGGGCTTTCGGGCGCACCCGGGGGTGCGGCGGCGCGCGGCGCTGGCGTCGAGCACGAGTCGATTGCACTCCGTGACGTACCGCGGACGAGCCGCGGGGGGCGTTTCCGTCCACTTGGCCTTTCGTATCTCCCACTAGCCTGAGCTAAAGGAAGCAAGTAAGATCCTCCCTCGAGGGGATGTTGAGCTCAGTTTCAATTAAAGATGCCAGAATGAAGGCCGACGGACCGCGCTTGGATGGCGCAGCCACCTCAGCGGGGATGGAGGAGGGTAGGGCAGGGCGGGTGCTACCCTTGAAACGAAAGGCCTGGGGGTTTGTATCTTGAAGTCAAGGCCAAAAACAACGATAGGGCTGGGCGCGCCCATAGAAGTGCTTATTTATTATTTGGGGCCGCCGGCCGTAGCATGTCATAGAGGTCCTCCGTCGACCACGCGCGCGCTGCCATCATCTCCATATTCCTGGGTGTCATCCTGTGAAGCAGTTTTTGGGTCCAGTTCGATTAACGCGCCTTCATCGTCCTCACCTAAGCTGTTCCTTTCAATGAAGTCGTCGACGTTCTCCCAATCGCCCGCGCATGAGTCTGAACCACTACTGGGAGTATGTTCTGCAGGTTCTTCGAACGCAGTAACTTTGCCAGATTCCTCATCATCCATTGCGTTATAATCGAGTTGATCTGCGTCATCGTCTGATATTCCTAGGTCAATCATTGTGCCGGCGCTTTTGGCTGTGCCGGCACACGCCCAGCCCCCGGCCCCGTCGACTTGGGGCCCGACCAAACGTGCCGGCACACCGACAAAACGCGATTTCTGGTTGTGCCGGCACACTAAGCTCCGCTAGATCTGCCGGCACACTGTGCCGGCACAAGATACACCCAGCAGGGGGTAGACGCGCGCGGAATTTTTTTCCGGTCTCTAGCCTCCCTTTAGGTCCCACTCGACCCGGCTAATATCCCGGCGCGGCTAGCTTAACGCAGATGGTCCCGACCGCGCGGCTGGCGCCTCAAAAAGTTTTGCTTTTCAGCTTGGTCGTAAACCGCTTGAAAGTGGGGTCATTTCGCCGAGACTGGCGTTGTGAGTGCGGTACCTTCGTACATTTTGAGACACTCGGGCGTGAGGATCGTTTTTCGCGGAAAGTTGACTTTCAGCCCGCGCTAGACCCGCGTGCGCGCGCGCGCGCGGCAAATTCTCAGGAGGTGTAGTACACGTCCCGCCCGCCGCCGGCGGGAAACAATAAATAATAATAATTTATTTAATTCGAGTGGGCCGGCCTAGGCGTACGTTGTTTTTGGCGCTGCCTCCAGGCGTCAAATAAATTTTTCCACAAAAAAGACCGGTTTTTACCTGGATTGTCCTGTAGTACTTTGCGAGTCTCGACGCTCAAAATCATGCATCGCAAAAAGGTTCTCTTAAAGGTGATAATTTTGGGAGATTCTGGAGTTGGCAAAGCGCTCGTCGGCGTTGGATTCAAGGCATAGCTGATTCATAATTTTTTCTTAGACTGCGTTGATGAACCAATATGTAAACAAGCGTTTTTCGGCATCCTATAAAGCGACGATCGGGGCAGATTTCCTCACGAAAGAGGTAAAAAATTCGTTGCTGATCCCGCATGTGAAGCAAATTGTTCAGGTGATGATCGATGACAAGTTGGTGACCCTCCAGATTTGGGACACAGCCGGTAAGACATGTTATGCATCTCCTTGACCATTTGACAGACTTTCTTAGGCCAGGAACGATTCCAATCGTTAGGGGTGGCATTCTATCGTGGCGCCGACGCATGCATCCTCGTTTACGATATTACGCAGCCCAAGTCATTCGAAAATCTTGACTCGTGGCGCGAAGAGTTCCTCGTGCAGGCCTCTCCTCCAGACATAGAGAACTTCCCATTTGTGGTTCTCGGCAATAAGCTCGACCGCGAGAACGATAGGCGCGTGCCGAAAGCTAAAGCACAGACCTGGTGCAAATCTAAAGCCTCGGCACCTCTCCGATACTTCGAGACTTCTGCCAAAGAGGCGGTTCAGGTTGAAGCTGCTTTCCAAGAGGCGGCCCAACTAGCCCTCTCCCAGGAAAATACCGAGGCAGATTTCTTGCCGGAAACCATCAATCTTGGCGCAGCACAGGCAGGTGGCACGGCGAAGAGCAGCTGTTGTTAGCCAAATGAAGACGTGAAGCGTGTGGAGATTCTGTGTTAAACAAAGGCTAGTTCAAGCCATCCGCACCTAAGCGACCTCAGCCACATTTGATGGTGTAGCATGGTGCCAAGCAGTGACGCCGACCCCCTTGCACAGCAAATTCAACTAGCCTGGCGAAGGCTGGGTCTCACGAAGGGGAACCTTTTTGCGAGAGAAGAGAGCGCCTCTAGAGTCGATTGAGCGGCAAGGTAGAAAGCCCAAAAGTTCCAGGCGCTAGCCGCGCGGTGGGGACTGGCTGCGCTGAGCTAGCCACCCCGGTGTGTTAGCCGGGTCGAGTGGGCTCTAAAAGGGGGGTCACGGAGCGGGGTCACGGTGGCCCAGGTACGCGCGTGGCCTTCCAGGCCCTCCGAGGGAGCGCGCTTCTAGACTAGCACTTTAGGGGGAGACAAATCGATCTGCCGACGCCGATGTTCCTGCGAAATGATAACCGCAGCTAAAGCTTCGTGCACGCAATAACTGTCCGTCTCGTTTTACACGGGGAGGAGCCTGAGGGCTATAGAGAGCAGCTAGATGCGGGAAAATATGCCGCGCCTCTGTCGCGCGCCCGAAAGCTCCCCTCGTACGGAACCAGAAGCGATAACAAGCGGGCTCGAAGTTGCAGTTCAACGTGGCTTGTGAAGGCAAAAGTGACGGTTGCGATGCTGGAACTCTATCATGATGCGTCTGGCGCCGTCCGCCATGGCGCGCAGCGTTTGTTGGCAGCCCGAAGATACCTTGACTGCATGATTCTGTTTTTCAATGGCGATGGTTGGTCCAAAAACACCATGATGGCATATTGAATCATGCGCCATCTGGCAGTACGGGGACCGCGCAGGTCGCTCTTAGAGGGAAGTGGGTTAGCTCAACCATACCAACAGCGAACTCCTACACGACAAGACGATCATCCCCCCAAAAAAACGAGACACCGGACCATACACCAGGTCTCTTGTGCTTCAGAATTCCCTGCACACCAGACAACACCTGCCCCTAGGGGAGCAGCAATGGTGACGTTGGCATACAGCCGCGCGACGCGCGTTGCGACCCACCTCCAAGACTTCTCTGGCCCAGTTCTGGGAGGAACACGAAAGTCTGAAGGGGGGATGGGGGGGGGGATATATACAAATACTTTTTTATATACCGGGGCTCCGGCTCTGCGGAGGCTCCCCCAGTAGCGTGGCTTCCGTAGAAACCACCCGTAGTGACGCGTTCTAAGACGAGTCCGACGCGTTGGATGGGAATCCGATGTCCAATCCGACCACTCGATGATCGCGTTCCGCGCGGCGGCCGCGCGTCGCTCCGCGGCCGCGTTCGCGCGCGAATAAAACCCCGAAAACGGTACCTCCGGGGACGGCCGGACAACCGAGCGACGACGCTCGCCGGCGTCCGTCGGCGGGGTGTCGGTGGCCATTTAAGTGGGAATGACCCCGCGTCGATAGCCGGAGAACACCCAGAGCACCAACGAAAGTCAACATCTCGTCAAGGTGCCGCCAAGAACACCAAATAGCGCAGGGCATGCGGCGGGCCCGGCCGCTTCCGGCGGGAGCGAGGAGGCGGCGCGGGACACGGCGCGGCCGCGGACCGAGGACCTCGAGGACGGCGTGCCGCTGCCGCTGCGTGCGCATGGTCTGGAGGCGCTTCGGGCGCTCGCGGCGGCGTCGGCGAACACGGCTGAGCGTCGCGTCCAGAAGAAGAACATCCAGTTCGACGCAGCGCGGAGCTCGTGGCAGCACCTCTTCGACCCGAGCAAGTCCGACTCCCTCCTGGCTCGGGGGTACGCCGCCAAGGGCGGCACGGGCGCCGACTACGGCCGCTACTGGATCACGGCCGCGGGGCTCGAGTACCTCGCGGCCGTGGACCGCGCCCACGTCGCCGACGCCGACGCCGACGAGGATCTGGACCTAGTCGACGCCGCCGCTGCCGACGACGATGACCATGGTGATGCCCCTGCCCCTGCCGCTGCGCCTGCGCGCGTCCACGCGGCGCGGGCCGCGAGGCTCAGCAAGGAGCTGGGCACCGCGCGGCGCTCGGCCTCGTCGGCGCGCGCGTCAATGGCCGCATCCACGAGCAGCTCCCACGTGTGGAAGGTCGCGCGGCGGAACGCCAAGACCGTCGCCGCGTGCGACGGGTGACTCCGCGCTCGCCGTCGTCTCCCGCCGCGCGCGTCCCGCGCCACAGAGCACCTCGCAACGATCTTTTAGCAGAAACTCATAAAAAGAGGCTAGATCGACGAGGAATCGGGGTGTTTCGACGGGACAACGGTCCTTTAAGCGCGGCTATGGTTTACCCCAAAATCGGGGTCTGCTGGGGGTGCCTCCGCGTGGCGGGAGCCCCGGCACCCTGCTACCTACGGCCCCTCCACTTGCACCATGATCTTCATAGAGTAATTAACACACGGAGGGGACTTGGCTTCTTTACATAGGCAGCCCTGCCAAGCACCGCTGGGCAGTATCGGCCTGCTTATAAGTAGACTTGGGTGTCTACTAGGGCAGGGTGGTCGGTAGTAAATAGCGAGGTTGGTGGTAAATAGAGAGGTGGGCGTTGCCGCTTTAGCTTGTACTTCGTATCATGGCACTCGGGTTCGACTTTGACTGCGCTCCCCAAGATAAAATTTTCGTGTGTTTCCTTAATACACGCCGACTCAACGTCAGCGTTTGGTGATCTCCTGAGGTGCACCAAGGCTGTTGTTGGTCGCCTCAAATTTTCATTAAGTTCGGAGAAAGCTTCCGGCGAGCACAAGACCAGTTGAGGCCTAAGCGAGAATGCATCCATTACCATCGGGTTAAAGTACTCCGACACACGTTGAGACCATGTTTGTGCTCCATCGTTTGGGCTGTGAGAGGCGGGTAGTGGCAAATTGTTGTTTTTTCCGCTCTTCAAGAGCACGGATGGACCTCAATCCAGATCTTGGGCTACGAGCACGAGAGCCAGGTGTTGATAGCGAGAATATGTCGTTATCGGTGGGGTAAGATCTTAGCGACCATGCATCTTCTTTGTCACGATATTCAACACGGTGGAAGGTGTCGCGTCCGCTGCCACTCGGAGTAAAGGGGGGAAGCATATCTGTCCTAACGTGCCGCTTCGAGGCTTGCTTAGAAGGTGGCCGTTCTGAAAAGTTCGCCTTACCCGTAGAAGGTATCTTTGACAAGTGTCCAGATAAGTAAATATCGCGCCCCGTGCCATCGTTGTAGTCTACAGAGGAGAGTTAGATTGTTGGGGGCCGAATGCGTACTACTCACATCGAGGCATTGTGTCAGTACGGCTACAGATCGAATTAATTGGTGAGACAGGCGGCCGTTCAGAGAACGTTGACTTGCCAGTGGCTGGGATAGGGCCACCAAAATCCGCGCGCATGTACAAGTCACGACCACTTCCAGAAAAAGGATAGTTCGGCATTGGATCCGTTCGACCACGCACTGGCTGCGAAGCTGGGGGGGGTGCTGCTACATTGAACACCTTCCCAGTCGACGGGGGCCTAGAGCAAGCACCACACTCTTAGCCGCGCAGCTCATACTCAGGGGACAGGACTCCCCGTCCCCGTTGAAATACGACACACTTGGGGACGCAAGGTTTGGCGCGGGGGGGCGGTCGGTGGATTGGTGTGGCGGTGGGGTCGGGCGGAGCTCACCGATCAAGACACGCCATGTAAAGGTCACGTCCAGTCCCATCAGATTGATGTCGCGGAAACGGAACCGTTGCGGGCAAGCTTACATCGAGCATGTTTGAAAATAGTTTTATGAGGAAGAGGCGCTGTTTATGCGAATCGGCACATCCTTGTTGCGCAACGCGAAGAAAAAGGTCTAAGGTTGCCGTATCTTGGACAAGATATTGTATATGCGGCCGCGGAACTTGAAGGTTGAAATGCAAGGGCCCCCGGGTTGGTTTAGTCGCGCCCTCGACTCTTTCGGCGCCCTCGGGGCCGCCGTGGATCATCACGGAGTCTCCGTCGGACCGCCGCGGTGCCCGAGTCCCGACCGGTCGAACTCGGCGATTTCGAGTCTCACCAGTGGGAAACGACCATAGGGCTAGACGCGCCCATAGGAATTATTAATTATTCATCGGCGGTCGCCCGACGGGAGGTCCTCATAGAGGTCCGCCGTCCACCGCAAATTGAGGCAAAATTGGTGAATTATGGGTCCGGCCAGGCCGCGATCTCAAGTTAACGCGCTAAACATACCACCTGAGGCGTTTTGAGAGGTTGGGGTCGTTGGTTCGGGTCGGGAATCGGATGATATATCTTCAATGTGCAGTGACACTTCCCCCCAACGGACGTGGGGCAATTCGTTTATATTATTCGTTCCTACACTGAACTGAAGGGGCCCCGGGGTCATTGTGCGTGATTGGCCGGATTGACCGCGTTGGACGGACGCCGTTGGACGGGCAGCCAACCGCGATCGGACGATCGGACAGGGCAGCCAACCGCGATCGGACAGGGACGAGGCCACTGGAAGAACCTAGCTGCCATTGGACAAAACCCCCGGCCAGTGGCGAAGCACGACAAGTCAGGCCAACTAGACTCCAAACAGCACCAGAGCGACCCTGAGGCGGCGTAGGCCGCTCCATTAGGGTCGTAGGGGCTGGGGGGAGCTAAAAGGAACGCAAAACGCCGGGGGACTTGGATGGGTCCCCCGGCGCGGCCATGCACTCGGGCCACGGTGCGCAGCGCCGGTGACGTGTTCTGAGACAAGTCCGGCGCGTGGACGAGAGTCCAATGTCCAATTCGACCCCATCCGAGCCTCGGAGAAAACCCGCCTGTTCCCCGGCGCAGTTGCCTAAATGTCCCGATTCCGCCCGATAGTGTCACTCTGCGTTCCCCCGGTCTGAACCCGCGCCCGAAGGTGATATAGAAGCCACAATCCTAGTGCTGTTCGTACGTTGCACGCGGCCCCGCGGCGTCATTTTCTTGGCTTTTAAGAATGCAAAGGGCGCCCTGAAGTCTCCTTTTCTTAATTTTGATATCGAAGGTAGAGTCCCGACGCGGCGTGCTAGGGCTCCAACTCAAAGTTGGGGAGCGGGGGGAGCGGGGGGAGGGGGGGGGGGGCAAAGGGGCCAAGATAGGCGCCTACACTCAGATTCTGTGAGTCGCCCATTTTTTACTTTTTTTCAGATGAGCTCTGGGTGGGGTTACATCGCCTGTCCCCTTTAAAATTTGAGCCTCGGTCCCCTTCTTAAAAGCTCAAACGGCGGGGAAGGTCAATAGAGCGCCCACGCCCAATGCTGAAGCCCGCGACGCCCTCCTACCGGTCATCTGAAGAAAACCGGCGGCGCATCCACCCTCGGCTCAGGGACGGAATCCAAAACCTTATTTAAAAAACCCTCTCTCGCCCGGGCCCAAACAAAACCCTTGGGAAACCCCAGAAATCTCTTTCGAAATTTTGGCCGAAAACCCTTATCTGGGGCCCCGATCGGGGCAAAACCCCCGTCCAAAAACCCCTTCGACGTCCGGAAACCCTTTCAAAACACTATCGCCAGCTCAGTGGGACCCTCACTGGGCTCGGTTTTTTAGAGCTAGAACTCAG